ATATAAAAATCAATTTTATAAAAAAACGAAAAAAAGTACAGTTGACCCTTTCAATACTGTGATACTTGTACAAATAAATGTTATTTTAAGTGCTGCGTGTTAATTGCCACACTGTTTTATATGTACTTCTGGTTTTTTATTCGTTTATGCAATATTTCAGCACTGTAATTAAATTCAATTGTTTCCGTAATATACGACCAAATGCCTTTTAAAGTTGTATGGTTGCTACCACCATAAGTAAAAAAGTTTCAACGGTCTTTATAGTTTTTATAGTTTCCGATTTATTATTGGGAAAGACGAAGGGATGGACATACGGAATGACATGGTTAAATCGACTCAGAATTCGACGTTGATCAAAAACATATACTCTTATGTCTATAAATCAGATGATTATTTCTTAAAGCTACAAAAGGTAAGGCAAATTTATTGTGCCCTTCGAACATACGTTCAGAAGACTATAAAAAGAAGTATTAACGATAATTGTAGCTATAACAGCTATATATTATGAATTAAAAATTTATAATGGAACAAATTTCAAAATGAAAAAAAAAATATTTGAATATGATTTAAAATTTTTTCTTAACGTATCAAATTTCGAAATGAGCTTTTTTTTAAAGCGATATTTTACATTCAGTTTCGTTCATTTTAAATAATGATTTCGTACCTAATTATTAGATATAAAAATCATTCTTATCGTAATTTTAGGAACCAGCAGTATGGTGCGAAAATTAAAAGAAACTGTAACAATTTTAATTGTTATTATACGACCAAATTGAGCTATTTTAATTATATTTCCAATTTTAATTATATTTTGTGATGAGAAGGCGGCATTACTATTATCGCTTATTTTGTCAATATTTTATTAACAATTTAGTTAGAAATGTTCTAAAATTTTTTCATGCAACATTGATATTAGCTAGACAACGATATACTAATGTTATACTTTACAATTTACGATATTATATTAATGCTATTTATAAGGAACATGAACATCCTTTTTTGTCTTACCACAAGAGACTCGGGATTTTCTGTTCCCTTGTTTTTTTTCCTTATAACAAAAATTTCATTGATCAAAAGAAAATTATTTTCTAATTTATTATTTTAAATTTTTGTAAATTTCAACTTGAAACTTTATAATTATTAAAAATTTTCAAAAAATGTGACAATGTTCAATTTGTTGGTTTTATAATTTTTTAAATTAAAATTTTACGTAACCACAAATAAAATTATTAAATTTAATATTTTCTTTTTCTCTTCTCTACTCTTTAAATTTGAAAAATAACTTTGTTAGAAACATTCTTTCGTCACAATTTCTTTTGTCCTTCTAAATATTTTTTTCATTTCGAATTCTTCGAACGGACAAAATTATTATTGTACATAACAATTTTTTTTTCTAGAAGAGAAAAAAAAGTAAAGGATATATAAAAATTTTTCCTTCAAGATTTTTGTTGCAGCTTTCTTATACCTATATTTATGTTTCTTTTTTTCATTATAGATTAGAAGATATTTTAGTTTTAAGAAGTTGTTCTTAAGGAAACGTAATAAAAATATTTTACATATATATTTGTAATGTAATATTATATAGGTATACACATCTACATACATACTTATAAAATAATAGAATAGAAATAATGAAAAATAATAAAAATATTTGCTTTAAAGACAATTTCTTTTTTATTTCTTTGACAACCTTCTACATCCAACCATTGAAATCTTTTTAAAATATTTTTGTTTTCTCAAGTACTTTCCGTATCTCAAAATCTTGTTATTTAATAAAAGCCAGATAGAGAAAAGTCATATTTTTTTTCTTTAATTTTACAACTATTTAAGAGAATCCTGTTTTTTTTTTCTATTCTTAAATTTTAAAGAATTTTGCAAAGAATTTCTATAAATACAAAATTTATTATCTATTATACAGAATAAAAATGACGTAGAATACCTGCATATCTTGAAACCTTTTTGAAATAAGATATTTTTAGGAAAACAAGAAAAAACAGAAAAAGTTAATAGAAGAAAATTGAAGTAAAGTATTATATGTCTAATTTTGAAGAGAACTTAAAAAGCAATTTAATCAATACTTTAATTTAATTAATTTCGATATTTTTTGTTATTATTTTCATGAAATCAAATACATTTAAGGTTTTCGTTTCCTAAGAGAATTTTTTTTGTTCATCATAATCTTATCAATAGATTCTTTAATATATAAGAAAACTATTTATCATATAATTTTGTTGGTATTAGTTGCATTCATAATGAACTATTAGAAAAAATAGACAATGTGAATTTAAATATTTCATTCAAATTAGCTAGCTGATTAAATCTAGATTTCAAAGAATCATTAATGGATTTATAAAAAAATTTTAAATATATTAAATTTTTATATTTCACTGAAAAATAAGGAGCAAATCCAAGATTAACTTCTTCAATTTAAATTAATCGACTTAGTTATACTGTAGAGCCATAAAATGTTTTGTGGCGATTATTTCTTAGACTATATTGTAGAGTAACAAATAGATATTACATGCATGTATATATTTTGTGTTATTAAAATTCAATTTGTGTTTAACATTTTTATACGACATTTTTGCCTTAATTATAGTAAAGTAAATGTGGTGATTGTGGCCCAGTCGACTAACGTCGACCACCTTTATTTGAGAAAAAATATACATATGTATAAAGCCCTATCTATGAAAGTCAAAACATTCCGAATTTTAATTAATAATAAGGAAAAAAAAAGTCATAACCCTGATCTCAGTATTGCTCATTATCTGCCTGAATCAGTATCTCAATATTATGAATTTTTTAACGAGCGCATTTTCTGGTTAAAATAATTTTATGTAACCGTTTATTTTTATTATAAAATTTATCAAAATTTGATGATTGTGGAACGATATATTTCAAGTATTTTCGGCCAAACTTTTAAATGTATTTTAGTTTTGCTAAATAAAATTAAATGTTTTAAATTTAATTTTCCAAATTTTTTTTATGCAGTTTTTTTTATACTTGTTAAACAAAGTATGGTCCACTCGAGTGGTCTAAATTTCCCAATCATTTACAAAATTTTTCAAATTTGACTTTTTGCGCTGAAAATGAATTTACAACAAAATTGTTCAAAATTTTGGAAGACTTTAATTTTGCATTTTGCATGATAATAAAAGTTACAATAATAAAATAGGTAGTCCACGATCACCGCATTCATACTTTGATTACACCTATTATTTAAATCTAATATGATATTCCTTGAATACTTTGCAAATTCATAAAAATCGCTATATTATTTGCAAAAATTTTTTTGTGGTGCCAACTCATTTTGTGTTGGGCTCTGTTTTTCATTATTTAAAATATATACCAACTGAAACTGAAATTCTGTATGCACTACACATCCAAAAAAAAAAAAATTTTAAGTAAATTATACTTTTAATCTTAATGAAATTTTTAATTTGTACATATTAATACTATCCTTCTTTAATACTTCAACAAAATGCTAAAAACAAAAAAATTTTGTTCACTTACATGTGCGCAATTTCCACATATATAAAATAAAAAAAAAATTTCAATTTATAGCAGAAAATAAGTGGAGAAAAAACAAATTTCTATTATAATAGAGGGAAGGGTTGTGTTTTATTTTTGTTTTATTTTGACATTAGGAAAACAATAAATTAATGCTTTTATTTTTTGCTTTAAATATGCAAAAAAAAAATTATAACTTGTAACCGCATAGACATTTAAAACAGTTATATATACATAAATATAATACTATAAACTTGAGAGTACATACTTAACTATACATTTACATAAAAATTATAAATATCACATTCCTCTGTTTTACAGAAAACTTAAATAAACATTTTTTTTTTATATTTATTTAAAAAAGAAAAAAAAACAAAGAAAATAACAATATATAAACTTTATATATTATGTATAGTCACGAAATATACACCTACAATTTTTTTAAAGCTTCAAAGTTTTTCTATATACCAGTTTTAAAAGTGCTTTAAAATTCGCTATATACTATATATGTTTATAATTCTTTTAAAATTTATTATACATAATATTATTAACATACTTGTATAATAAACGCACACAATTTCTATATGTTATATATAATTATTATATATAAATTAATAAATTATATTAAAAGAAAAAAGAAATAAATAAAATTTATTAAAATGCTGAAATAATTATACAATAAATCCGGTGTCAAAGCATTCAAAAATAAAATAACTACAGCACAATTATAATTGAAAAATAATATAAAAAATATAATTACTTAATAAATTTAAATTATATAAGAAATAACAAAAAAATTAATACGCTTATATTCAATTAATATTTAAAATGAAAAAAAAAACCAAAATCATATTTCAAATAAAATATAATTTTTTTTTAATGAAATTTTATATTTATATACTTAATTATTATATAGAGAAATATATTTAAATATTAAAGAAAAGAAAAAATACAGAAAATATAATTAAATTTTCATTAAACGTATATTATAAAAATAAATTATTTGTTAAAGTGGCTAATATAACAATCAAATATCATATAATTTGAAGGCTAATCATATGAATGCTTGAATTCATAAAAAATAAATTAAATTTATTGAAAATTATTCGTATTAAATGAATTGAATTGAACAACTTTTCAAAATTATTTATATACATTTTATGAAATCTCAATAACATCTAAATATTTAATATAAATTTACCCTGAATATTATATTGCATATAAATGTGAACAGATGTGTAAATATTGCACACTAAATTGCTCTAATATTTTCCAAATATAATGGATAACATTGAATTGGCTGTTTTGTTTCATGTTCTAATTTTAATATAACATTAAAATTTTTAATAATAATATAAGAATAAATATAGTGTTTTGGAAAGCTAAAAAAATTTTATATGCAAAAATTCATAAATTTTTAAAAACCACAATAAATTAAAATTCAGAAATTTATGTAAAGCATAAATATCATGACAAAATTCCGCATTTTTTTTTTTGTAATAAATAAAAACAAAAAAAAAATTTAATAACTATTATTTAAATTAATAATTAATATTTAAAAAAAAAAAAAAACAAATCTATATTTCCTATATAAAAATAAAAAATAAGGAAACAAAAAAAAAAAAAATTTATATATGATGAGCAAATGTGGTGATCCAGATGATAGCTCAAGTGTGCCATTAATATTAACCGGATTTGATGATAAATTTGGTACAACCGATAGTGATAATACTGATAATGATGATAATAACGATGATGGAAATTTTATTAATAATGAAATTGATGCAATACTTAATCGTTCAAATGATGAATCATCATTTGAACCACATCATAATAATTTATCAAATTCATATCATCAACAAACTCCTATTACACCAACATCAGCAGCAGCAGCAACAACAACAACAACAACAACAGCAATTGGTATTACTAATCCAATATCAAATACATATAATAATAATATTAATAATGGTACAACAAATAATGCAACACCAACGGCTGCTACAGCTGCTATTCTATCACCTGGTAATGGTAGTACAACAACAACAACAGCAATACAAAATCAAATATTACAAAAATCATCAACAACACCATCAGCCGGTGGTGAAAGTTATAATAAAAAACTTAGCCGTCAATTTAATGATAAGGTGAAAAAAAATATATCAAGTGATAAATTAATATTATCTAATATAAATAATATAAATATTAATGATAATAATTTATTTATTAGCAGTAGTAGTAGTAATAATAATACAAATATAAATAATATTAATAATATAAAAATAAAAAAAAATAATTCATTATATGATTTTGCTCAAATAAGTAATAATGCTACAAGTCCTACAACTATTACTAGTACTCCTACTGCTAAAACGGTAAATAATATTTCAGAATTAAATAATGCTATGCAAAATGAAACCGCCGCTGCAATTGATATTATATCAGCTGCTACCGCCTCTGATATAAATGTTACTTCCGCCGCTGCTGCCGCCGCCATCGCTACTGCTTCAAATACTAATCCCGCTAATCAATTATATAATAATAATACTCTTAATATTTCATCAAATAATATATTAATACCATCAACGGCAACTGTTATAAGTGGAATAATATCATCTGATAATTTAATTATTGATGATAATACAGCTGCTAATAATGCTTTTAATGATATTAGTCCTGCATTTATTGATGATGATATTAAAATATGTGCCGCTGATTTAATTGCTATAGATACAGCTGCTGCAAATATTGCTGCCGCTTCTATTTCTACTGATATTAATACTATTAATCCTTCTTCAAATTTAGATTCATTAAAACGTAATAATATTACTGCATTTCATATTGGTAGCATTAAAGAAAATCGTAATAGTAAAAGTTTTGATAATAATAATACATATAATAAAAATTTTGATTATGATAGCTCCTCGCCAATTAATAATACAAAATTTTTATATGACAATGGAATACGTAATGCCAGCAGTCATAATAATATGATAAATATTAATTTAAATAATTTATATGAGAATCATTTAAATAGTAATAGTCATTTTAATACAAATTTTAATAATTTTATAAATAATCAAACATCTCAGCAACGACAACTACAACAACAACAACAATATAGAAATAATCAAACATTAAGTCCAGATAGTGCAAAATTTAATAATAATGATGAGGATGGTAATGGGATTGATCATAGTTTTAAAACAAAATCATGTCGAAGTTTTATTCGACAACAACCAAAATTAGGAAATGAGCATCGTAATAAATCAGTTCCACACAGTTTGCAGGTCGTTTTTTCTTTTATACATATAAAATACATATCTATATTTATATATATATATATATACATATATATTTATTCATTATATTTTATGATATTTTATTTTTAATATTCATTGAATTTTAAATGAATGTTGTTTATATAATAACTAACAATTTCCATAAATATTGGTTTATTAGTTTTGTTTTGTTTTTTTCTGTTTAATTTTTAACATTGATTTGCTTTTAAATAAAAACTTTACTTTGTTGTAAAATGAGATACAGAAATAATAATTAATTATGAACTCTTTTGAAAGCAACTTTTATTATTTAAATCCATAATATCCTACATAAGAAATTAATTTCTTTTTTGTGATTATTACTGTGATAAAAATCATAACGACCTACCACAACTTATACCTTAATTTACCAAAATTGATTTTATTTATAGACAAATACAAGCCGCATAAGTTTATTTCAAATTTTGTTGAATAAGCATTTTCAGAAATGAAAATAAAAAATAGTACTTGTTATTTATAAATTTATTTTTTCTGCGCACCCATAAGTATGCAATTTTTTTTAATACAATGTTAGATTATATTGTATTTCTTTTCTATATCACCATTCCCATAAATAATTTGGAGAAAACAAAAAAGAGCAAGACAATTGAAATTTTGTTTTATTTTAAAGCTGAAAAGTTTTACCAAAATATTATAAAGTGAGGGAGTCAATATTTTATGGAGACAGAAAAGTAAATAAATAAAATTTATTAGTTATTCATGAGTATCTAAAATGAAAACGTGTTTAAAATTGAAAAATATTTTATAGTTGATATTACAAATTTTTTACTTAAATTTTGGCAAAATTTTAATAAAATTCATGTGCTGTAAATTTAAAAAAATTATTACATAAATTTGTTATTGGAAAAAAAATCTCTTCCTTGATTGGAGCCAAAAAAGTTATTTTGTATTCTACGTTAACATATCGTTGGTCTGTATAGTTACAACTAGTTTATTATTTGAGTGTATTGTCTTTATAATGCAGAAATGAATAATATTCGAAAGCAATAAAATATTTTCAATGCATGTAATCTCCTTAATTTATATTTCTCACAGATATTTATGCTTTAAAATGTAACAATTAAAAAATTGGTTAAGCGTATTCTTCAACTTCTTCTAGATTTGACTTTTCTTTAAAGAGAGGGTTTTCATTTTCTGGTTCTGAACTTTCGGAATTACTTTTTAATATAATTTATTCATTGAAGTCGTCTTATAAATATTTTTGTTTAATTAAAATTTTAAACTTATTTTTTAGAAATTTGTTCAATATTAACACGTTAAAAATTTAAGTAAATAAAAATTTGGTAAAAACTTTTTCCCAAAAACCTTTCTTGAAAAAATATCAAACAAGAACAAGGAAATCAAATTAAGAATTTTGATAATATTTTTCAAGTTTCACTTTGATTTTAAAATAGACCGGAAACTTTAAAATTTTTACTAGTTATGTTTTTTCAAATTAAAAAAAAAAATCAAAAAAAAAAAAATAAATGTCCTTGTACAAATTCTTGTTAAAAGACAAAAGAGAATTTTATTTCTATACATTTTGTTTTAAAGAACCGACAGAAAAATTTCATAAATTATAGCACTCTAATTTTATTTTAAATTTTCAGTATGCATTGTAAAGTTTAATATATAAGTACAGGGTATTGTATGTTGAATTTATACCGTTTTATTTAAGGAACAAAATAAAAATTTCATTCATTCGTATTGTTGTAACTAGCACGAGATTGAAACTGTCGAGCAAAGCCAAAATTTTGAATATTTCACACTCAAAATTATGACTGAAGTAAAAAATATCTCTTGCTTCTTGTTGTGTTATCTCTTCTAAAACTCAAAAATAGTAAATACGGCTCCACAGCGTAACATCAATGGCGTATTTTACTAATATTATTTTAAAACTTAGTTATAGTTTATAAATATTTGTAAACTATTGCTGCAACTCTGTATTCCTCACATTTGGATTTTGTTTAAATACACAAAGAAGATAGAAAAATCCTACTTAATTTACAAATCACTCTGTATATAGTTTTCCATCTATATTATAAAAATTTTCTATAACTGAATATAAAAATCAAATATGAAAATTTCAAAAGCATTATAACATAGAAAACGAAAATTTTCTCATGTAGTGGAAAGAAAATGAAACCAGTAAAATAAATGTGAAGTAAATCACTTTATACAGGGTTATAATTGTTCATATAAAATTACTAGAACATGATTTATATATAATTTTATATGCTATAGAAATTTTATGAGAATCTTTACAAAAACATAATATGCATCTAATATTCGTGGTTGCTTACCTGCATCATCATCTGCAATAATATTTCAATATGATTTCAGTTATGTATAACAATATACTATTATATAACAACTTTCTCTTATACATATATTATGTGCATAGCATAAATTTATCAAAAATAAAAAACGAAGACAAAAAAATTAAATAAAAAATGGAAAACAGGAATAAAAATTTCATTTTCATCGAATAAACTTTTTAAATTTTTTAGTTGCAACCGCCCTAAATGTAGCATTAAAATTGTTGTTATATGCGGTATAATTTCATTCTTGTATAAATATTCTTGTTCCAATTTTTTTTTTTTATTTTCAAATTTACCCCAACAAATTCAATAAATTTTTATGATTTGCATGAGACACACAGAATTGTTAAAATTTTGTATGTTTATGTTTTATCTTTTTCTTTTCTGGTTTAGTTCTTGAATTAAACATATTAAATTATTCAAATTTTTTTTCAAATCAATTTCTTTTTTAAGATATAGAAAGAAAATTTTTTACTTTTAGAATAATTTTAAAAGTGTTTACAATGTTAACATTAAAAAGAAACTCATTATTTTTTTTTTTGAGGAAAGGAAAGGAAAATTTAAATATAGAAAATGTTTATTGTTCAAATAATTGTTTTTCTTAAGTAAAAGGACTTTGAAGTGAATATTTACGTTTTACAGTAATAAAATACTTAATATATGAAATAATAATGTAACAAACAAGTAATATTGCAAAAGCTTTTAGATAAAGAAATTTGTAAAAGTCCCTATTGTTAATACAATAACAAAAATATAATTTTAAAAAAAAATTAAGTTTATTTTCACACAAGTAAGGTGTTTACCAAACAGAAACATTTAAGCTTCTAATTTTTCATAGTAGTCCCCAATTTGTGATATTTATTACGTAACAAATTGCACATTTTATATATAAATCTTTTAAATTTTAATTATAAATTCCGGTTTCCTTGACAAGTAGTCTCCTAGTTAGATTTCCGAGCCCTGGTATTCTAAAAAAAATATACATTTATTATTTTAACGCCGCAAATTCAAACTTGTATTTAATTTCATGGAAATTGGTTCAATATTTTTTTTTATATGCGCATAAAACACATCTTAGCAAAGTAGTTTATTTTTCCTTTTTTCCTACCATTAAGAGAAATGCGAACGTAGTATCCATTGTTGTATGAAATATGGTCGGTAATAAAATCAACGATTTTTAAAAAAATGAATAGTTTCAACATTTTCTTTAATCTACTTTTATCCTGGAAAAAATAATTAAATGAAAATAAAGATATGCAAACAGCAAGTAAAAATATTTTCTCAATATCTTCATGCAATCATTATAAAAATTCTTCCCTTATATTTTTCCTTTTAAATAAAATTTTTTCAAAAAAAAAATAATTTTGAGGGTTTTTTTTTTGTTTTTCGTCGTGTTTTATCAAAAGGAAAAACTTAAAATTTTCCAATAAATTCTTGCAAAAATATTTGCATTTTTTTTTTTTGTTTTTTAAATTATCGTTAATGTTGCATTTTCATACACCATTGATTAATCCATTTTAATATTATTTCATTTAAAGAAAAATTGCATACTTATCGGTGCTTGAAAACTTATTATGCATTCTGTTTTAGTATTTTTGTTTGATTAAACCTTTTGTACAATCAACTAACAAACTAATGATTATTGTTATTATTGCAAAAAAAAAAGAAGAATAAAATTTCTTTTTTCTTTTCTTTTTCGTATCTATTATATTGCAAAAATAAGAAGAAATTGTATTGATGTTATATTATAATTATAATCATTTTATAGCTATTTTATATTTTATGGAAAATAAAAAAAATTATTTTGTGGGAATTTGTGTAAGCACAAACATGGTACGTACCCACACATATATAAAATTTTGAAATGAGAAATTTTTCATTGAAAATTTTTATATTCAAATGTAAAATTATAAAAGTTATAAAAATGTAGTCAAATTGTGTGTGTTAATATAAAAATTAATTTCCTAGCTATTCAAAGAAAAAATTCAATATACGAGTATGTAGCTCTAGCTAGACAACATACAATTTCAGTATGTAATTCTGAAAAATGTTATATGTGTGTATGTAATTTTGAATTCTTTAATAAACCCTATTCAAAATTCATAACAAAGGTTTCTTTATATTTTTTTGTAAAAAAGAAAGGAAAGCATTGTTCTTTTTGAATTTTATTAATATTTCATTATTATGAAAAAAGACAACTTTTAAAAATTAACCTGCCGGAAAACTAACCTTGTAATTTTGAAAATTCCTCGTTGTTTTTGTTCCCCCATAAAATCAAAATTTATATTGTTTATAAAACTTTTATATTTAAAGGAAAAAATGGAAAAATTCTTTAATAATAAAAGAGAATTAATAAAATTATTATAATATTTTATTGATTTAAAATGTCTGTATAATATTAATAACACATGCACATTCAAAATAATTCGTGGTAGGATTGTTGAAGGGTGAAAAAAAAAAAAATTTTTAAAAGATTGAAATTTCAATGTTAAAAAAAATTTGGTAGATCGTCTACCTAGAAAGCGGCAGGTCACTGCTTCAAGTCCAGTTCGAGGAGAAAATTTTTTTAATTTTTCTGCCTTCAACTTGTTCCTTTGATTAGGTCATCCAGCTGTTCTGCAATTGTATGAGAGAAATATCCATTTGTAT